TGAAGAAAGGTGTTAGAAAGTAATAGCCATGATACCAACAATGTCAGTAATGATATTTGCTTTTATGGATAGTTTAGGTCAGAGAGATATTACTGAATAAATTATGTGGATATGGTGTCAAAGTTATTAATTTACAACTGACAGACCAAGAGAATGACTTGGAAAAGGATATTTTACTAATCTACAAAAGAAGTTGGCTGATGTCCTAAAATTCAAAAGGAACATACAAATGATAAAACCAAGAGAGGGACCTAGACATTTGTTTTTATATTGGATTTACAAAAGAGGCTTATTAAAACTTCAAAGAGAAATCAAATCCTACGACAATATTTGAACAATTAAAACTGTTAGAAGTAAAAAGAAGGGATAGAAAGTTGGTTTATTTGAACAAAGTTAAAATAATCTATGTTCTTACTCCTGACAATGATTTATGGACTTTCTGCTGACACCAGGCCTGAAAAGATGATTCTATATAGATTTGTCTATAGATAAAGGATGGGCTAGAGGATGAAGAGATAACTGTTTGTAACTTAGAAGGAGTAAAGAGTCACTAAATTTCTTTATACCCTTTGTGATGAAGGTTGTAAGTCCCTTCTGTACATATTTCTTTTCTCATTCTTTATCATGGTTTTACTTTTTTTCCTTTTCCTTTTCTTTTTGCTTGCACTTTTATCCTTTCTTTCTCTTCTCTTCTAAGTTTAGTTTGTATTAGATTTTGTCACTGTAATCAGAATTCTTACTAAAATTACATGAGGGTGCAAAGATAGTATATCTATAACACCTTAAAGCATATCTTTCTTTTACAGGGATCACATGGTAGCTATTCAATCCTGGGGTGACAATGCGGCTGCTTTAACAAGCTAAGAAAGGTTAGTATTATCATGTACCCACATTTCACTGACTTCAAAGAAATCTGCATTAAAAATGTCATATTAAGTTCAGTGAGGTTTACTTTTATGATTTAAAAGTAGAGCAATACACCATTCATTGCTGTAATTATGCACTGTGGCATACAATAATTTCAGCAGGTCCTAAATCTTATTAATTTATTTAATTCACTTGTGCTCTATTCTTGAAAAAGTTCATACGGGTGAGACATCAGATACTGAAAGCTTTAAAAATATTTTTATGAACTTGGCTGTGAGGCCTTGCACAGAGGCCCAAAACAATTATGACACTGGCAAGCCACATGAGGACCTACCTTGCTTCTATTAACAATTGCTAACTCTCCATCTTGGAGTTTTTCACCTTTTGAAATTTTATGTTATTTTTATAATTTTAAAATTAGTTCTGATTTAATATTCCTTTTATTGATTATATTGTGTGCTGTCCAGAGCCCCTCGATGAGGGAAATGGGCAATTAAGAAGTAGAAAATAGAAATAACATTTACTACATTGCTTTGATAATAATGGCTAGAATAGCATTAGTCTACACTTTATCAGCTATTTCTTTACAATAAGAAAATATATATAAATAGGCCTCAAAGTATTTGTTTTTTATTACTATGACTCAAATGCTTTCAGTAAGGATCGGATACTAAAATCTCACAGAATACAGTGATCATTATTGGTACAAAATATCATGATTTGCAAAGCTCCTGAAATATTCTAAAAAGTTGCTATTTATTCTGCTGTAGCAGAAGCTTTTTGCAATAGCATAACATCAGCCCCTGCATGTTACATAATGATGTGAATATTTATATCTCTGAGCACATTACTGAAGTTTCTCAATAATCAGTACCAAATATTGTTACATAACTAGGAAGTATGTTCACCTAGACATCCACTGACTGAGTTTATAATAAGAATTAACCTCAAAATCAGATACTTACTAAATCATTTGCTGCTAGAAATGTGTTCAAAAGTATATGCTTCGTTTTAATTATTATTTATTTATAGTCTTCAAATAATGTTTTGAAAGCACTGAAATATGATGGAACATAAACTAACAGGTTTTTCTAAGAAAGGAGAGATTTTTTTTAAAGAAAGGAAAACTAAGCTGTGTGTGTGTGTACTTTATCTTGTCTAAAAATAAGGACTGAGACTCCTGTTTCAACTATATATGTTCAGCAAGAATAAAATGAGCAAATATCTAAATGTGGTAGATAATCAGTTCCTCATTTTGTACACACTGTAGAACAACAGGTCATAAGAGTTCTTACCTACTAAAATATGGTTGAGTTAAAAATAAAAATAGGTGCAGTAAAGTAATGTCGTAAAAATTTTTTTTGTCAGCTGCAAACTATTTCTTCCTTGGTCATTTTTCTTCCTCCTCCCTTTCTAGAGAATCTGTCAATGGAAGATGAGGAGACACTGTCCAGTGCCTCATTTAAACTTCCCTAGGTTTTTTTTTTTTTTTAAACCTGACCACTATCGCCCTATTTTTCTTTTGGGAAAGAGGAAAAGCTAAATTACAGTAAAGGGAGAAAAGGAAATCAAAGGGGGAAGAGGAACAATACACTCTGCAGAGGACAGCTAACCTTTTCCAAGGACATATCCTTATTTATTAAGAGGAAGCATATTTAAAGAAAGGCTTGCAATAGCAATTGTGTCATACATTTGGCAGAGAGTTTGCTTAATGGAATGGCAACCATCTATCATCTAAATAGAGAAGATTATATTGATTATAAACATTTTCACAACAGACATTTTACCAGCCACTGACTGCAAGAATCAATCATTTAACTTAATAGGGATGCTATGGAAGACATAACCAAGTGTTTGATAAATCATGAAAGAAATATTCATCATTCCCTTCATAAAGCCAGTAAAAAACCACGGGAGGGATGGTGAAATCCTTGCTTACAGTATTTTTTTTTCCACATCAGCCTTAAAGGCAACACAATGAAAAATAATCTGTTCACAGTGGCTCGTCTTTAGAAGTTTTAATAAGCTGTTTGGGATTTTGACAGGCAAAGAAAGAAGTTTCTTGTGCCCTCCTTTGCACGGTTACTGTGGAAACCATTTAGTCTGACAAGCATGAAGGGTTAACCCAGTGCTTTTCAGTGTGGAGATCTCAGAAATCTGGGCATTTTCTTCAGTGCTATTCATTACAACCTTTATAAGTACTTCTATAGAATCCAAGAAGTGTTTTGAGCAGACTTAATAGATGTAACCACCCCAAAATCTGGAAAACCATTTATAAAATTAGGCACAGATACAGTGGAAAAATTCCACTAACTAGAATTCCTAAGTGCTACGATCAGAAAAAATAAGGAGCCGATCAATTAAATGAAATGTGAAAATTCACATCTATTAGTATTAATAGCTCTCAGACATACTTAAAGTTACGTTTTTCCTAAAATTGTGGAAAAACCAAAAAGGTCAAAGGTTAAAAATGGGACCACTAGTGGTACTCATGATGCGAGTACAAACATTGTTAGAGGTATTAATGCCTTGTTCTTGCTTCTACAGATTAGGTTTCTAGCAGATACTGAGTTGCCCTTATCATTTGAAACTAACTTAACGAGTAAATAAGCATAATCAGCCTTAAATAAGAGAAGCTAACTTTTCTGCGGAGTGCAATATAAAATTCAATAGTTTGAATTAAATCCTGAAAAAGAATTGGAAGTCAGTGTAATACCTCCATAAGGTTAAATGTTTGTTCTATTGCAAGATATAGCCAATGTCTCAGGCAGCATTTTCTGAACTAAGCAATTAATTACCAAAATCATTAACTAAGTTTATTAAATAATCTGTATCATATTTTTAAAGTAAAACAGACCCAATAACTGATAAAAGGATTCAACTTCATATTTTTGAGTATTGAGTATTTTTGAGTGAATTCATTTATGATTCTAATTACAAATGAACTGCAGAACTACTAGCTTATCTCTGAATGTATCTTTCAGCACAATTCAATTTTATAATTCTGAAAGTCTTACCTTAAAGTTTTTCTGAGAGTCGGGTGTTGGGCTGTCCAGATCTATTAGCTTCTTCAACTCTTCTTCAATATTTGATTTAGATGCTCTCTTTGGTGAGGCTCGAAGATCTCTGGCTGATGCACGCAACCTAGGATGTGCCATTTCATTACCATCACTCTGATGTCGTCTTAAAAGAAAAGAAATGCATCTTTACAAAACAAACAAAAATGGCTTCTTTCATGTCTGTTTTTTAGAGAAAGTTTAAATGGAAGTTTAGTATTAATAACTGTTAATAATTTAGCATTAATAAACAAGGATAAACATTGCAACAAATATGTTTATGATAATAACAGCAACCCTAGCCACATCGCTGCCAGAAGGCTTTCACAATACATTCAACACTTAAGGACACTGAAATGTATCATGGCTCCAAGACCTCCTGTGGTTCTCTAAGTCCCCTTTCTGTGGCTGTGGGGAATCCCTGTACACAGAACTGTGAAGAAAAATGGATAGTTTCTTGCCATTCTAAGGTGGGAAGCATTTAAATGGTCCTTAAAAGGCATATAACAGAAAAGAGAGGGGAAGCGCTCTCCTCAAATTTCCCCCAAACATGTCCTTATCTGTATATGGTCCCTTTCCCACTGCAGTCTTTGTCTTCCCAATGCTAGAGTGAAAATGTATGATAAGCACACATACAAAAGACCACTTTGTCAGAAAATTTTCTTGCTACCTATTTTATATCGCTCACCATGTTCATGTCTGGCCCTAGTTTAAGCAATTATTCCAACCACATGCTTCCTGGAAATCACGACTTAAGATACCATCTGTATTATTGTGGCCACCTAGAACTAAGGATTGTACAAAATTGCTCTCTGTGCATATTCTTCCATGTATGGAAGAACCGATCTGCAGTGGCTCATGCTCACACTTAATTGCACACGTTTTGGAAGTTCTGGTTTGTGCACTGTGCATGAAATGTGCAGATAAAACAAGACCGTTTGATCCAAACAGAAGTGATTTTTGAAGGGTGGGGGAGCCAAAAGCATCAGCAGCTGAGAGGAAGCAGAGAAAGGAAGATGCCGGAAAGAAAATGCAGGAGACAGGTAGTGTAATGGAATGTGTGGATGACCTTGGGGAATGAAGGAAAGAAATACTACCTAGGAAACAATCAGACAAGAGAGGCTGGAGCTTCCAGTGGCTTAGTGGCCAGAGAAAGATATTTAAGAAGGACTCGCCCTAATGTATCAAGCATTGAAAATTGACAGCAGGAAGTTTGTAGTTTCAGGCTTGCAAGATTCTGTTAATATAGGCTTATAATAAAGTCGAATTAGTCCATCTAGTTGTGTTTCCTGTTTGAGTTACCTGGGAGGGTTGAAAAGTAGGTCAGTGGGATATGCTTGGCTGCAATACAGGTAGTAACAGGGGTGGGTGCTTGAGTGGAGGAGGGAAAATGCCAGGAAAATTGTTGAGAAATTTATATTGTGAAGAGCACCAGCCTTACTCTATTTATCTGCGGATTTTGTTTCGTCCAAAAATCAGAAGCTGTTAAACTAGATGAACCTCAGTTTTGCCAAACAGTGATCTGAAACATTCTGGCAGAACCACCAGAACACAGTGATTTTTCCCCTTGTTTCAAAGACAAAGGATTTTCATGCACACGTCTACCTAGATCAAATTTATTTCTTTCATCTGACTATATTTTTAATAATGATCTATGATTAACTTTTTATCTGTGTGATTAAATGTATGTAAGTTCTTCAGTAACAAATTGGCTCTAAACACAATTGTATTATTGTGACATAAGATATCTGTATAAAAACTAAAAGGGTAAGTGGGAAAATCTTACTGTAACAGATATAACTCATTTGAATACTTTAAAGTTACTTGTCAGACATCAACGCTTTGATCTTCTTTGCATGTCTTACTCTTTGTATTTAATCAAGGGTTATTAGCATTAAGTAGGGTAGTTCTACTTCATGTTAACAAAAGGGCTTTACATATCAATTTGCTATTTCCGACATGGGCCAGATTCTTTCCCTGTAGTTCCAATTGTGTTGTGGTTTGGAGGAAAAAGCAATTGCATCTCCGCACTCCCACCCCCCCACCTTTTATTAATTTATATACAACCTAGAACAAATTAGGTGATTTCTACATCTGTTTCAAGGTCTCTGAATAGAAAGAATGAATGGTGGCAACATACCTTTCCTTCCTGGCAATCCAAATCAGGATTTGTAGAGCCCAATTAATAATGTTTTAAAATGCTCCTAATTTCATTTTGTTTAGAAAAAAGAAATCCTGTGGAAAAGTATTTGTCTCAAGATAATCTGGAGATCTTACCTTTTAAAGCTTTTGCAACATGATTTTAAAATTGGAGGGAGTAGGTGGGGGAGAAGAATAATATACATTGACTGGGGCGTTTTAGTATTTTGAGAGAATTAAAAAAAAAACCATAAGGAAATGAGTGACTAAAAAGAAGGAACATTTTCTAAGTACACTGAATTAATTAAATGGTTTTAATTCAGTGATTTGAGTTGTACTTCAAGAAAAAGCAGACAATAAATCTCTTGGGAGGTTTTCTTCTAAAAGCCCTTCAATTGGCTTAAATTGCCACTCCTTTTAACCCTCTTAAAAGTTTTCCATGAGCAAAATACAAAGAGGCCTTTTCACCCATTAAACACCCATTAAAATAGAACCAAAATGCTCTTACTTTCTTGAATCCATAAACCCCACAGAGTTTATTGTCCCTTCAGGTTTTTTCCATCCAATCAGGTACTTGCTAGTAGCACCCTGACGTGGGTAGAAAGTTCTAGGACCAGAAGAGGAGGAAGAAGAGGAGAAAGAAGGTGCTAACTGTGGGGAAGTGGCAGAATGAAGCTCTTCTTTAGGTGAACTTCTGGCACTGGTGAAAACAATGGAGCTGGCAGAATGTCGGGAGCCCATGGTACTGGGAAAGAAGCATAAGAAAGACAAAACTGACTTAACTGTATAACTTTACATTGCACGCAATTCATTTCAAAATTGCCCTCTGTAACACAGAATACAATTGTTATATGATTTCCTTTCACGATCTTAGAATAAAGGATCCAACCTATTTAAACAGAAGAATAAAATGTGGCCTTCACTACCACAAATACACCAACTCCTAATCTAGAGCCAATCTTAATGGGAGAAGCAAATTATGATCATTTAGCAAGCACTAGGTAGAAAAAAATTATGTGCAAGATTGACAAAATATGAAATAATTTTTACACGCACACACAAATATAGGAAAGGGTTCCCCCCCCCCGAATGGCAATTCTAATTATATGTAAACAGACAACAGTGTCGTTGGTTGGCAAAAGAATGATACAGATAGTTCTTCATCACATTTACAATTGAGAAAGAAAAAATAACTGTACAACCAGTCCTTTGATTTATGACCTTCACGGGTTTGTAAAGCAAAGGAAAACTGAAAGATCACAAGTACAGTTGCAGTTTCACTTAGCAACTGCTTCATTTAACAACTAAGTTACTGGTCTCAATTGTGATCACTGTATGAGGATATAATTTAAGAAGGATGTTAATTTCACGAGAAGAAGTCCTAACCTTGCCATAGAACTTTCTACTTGCTTTTCTATTTTGTTGTTGTTGTGCAACTTGCAAAATTAAACCATTTTCCAAAGTACGTTTTGAAGGAAGATGAAAAAATTACAAGAAGGGAAAAGAGTCGCTCACTTTCACTTATGGTAGATGCTTTATAAAAAAAGACATATTTCATCCTTTCTTTGGCTAAAAGACAATATTTTAAGAGAAACACTAATTATTTTATTGGCAGTGTTATAATAGATGAGACGTTTTTCTTTGGAATAGATAACTTCTAGAAAGCAGTCGGGTCCAATTGTTGAATTACTGAAGCTTCTTCCAAAATCTATAAAAATTCTTCATTTCTTTTTATAATACAATAGGGTTCAAACAAAGCAAGGATCAATGCTAAGAGATTTTCTATGCCCATTTTATCATATTGTTTAGCTCTACATACTGAATTTAACAGACAAGAAACTCCTAACATGTCAAAAAATTATAATAAGATTTTTAAAAAAACTATTAATGTTTAGTAAATTGTATTAATCATTCATAAATTCCAGGACTCAACTAATTGTATAAATATGCCATGATGTTTAAGAATTCATCTTCTACGTCCCTACAGCATTGTTTGAGTCAATAAAAGACATAATATCACCTAACATACAAGTTTCAGATATCTTCTAAAGATAAATATCAGTGGATGACTTAGCATTGCTGCATTACTCATAATAAATTACTTATTTTCATGTCATGAATTTTGAAATTATCAAATCTAGTATTTTGTTTCCACAATGGATACACTGTGGTCCATGGAGACCGCACAAGCAGAACATAATGCATTAGAACCCTGTTATGAAGTTGCATACTTTTACATTCTATATCTTGATTATATTATTGAATTTTTAATGTAACTCTTATGGGGGTCTTTTCAATTAGGCAATTAAAACCAATTATTTGATAAACAAATAAATAAATTCATTTTGGCTTCCAGCTCCAACACAGTACAACTCTAGATAAATTGGCAATGTTATAGTCCAGCAGGAAATTAGAACTTTCAGGCTGACCCAGCTGAGACAATTTTGACAGCTGACATGCCTATTACTTACTGAATATCTTATTTAAATGTAATGGTGGGATAGAATAAGGTTTGGAAATGTTGTGCAGCTAGTACATTTTATAATGTAAAATCATCATTCATTGCAGTGATCAGCACATGCACTCTTTTAAAATACTGATTTTAACATAAAATGAATGACAAACTGCATTAGCAAAGTTCTCCAAATATTAGGAAAAGTTGCAAAGTCAGAAATTGTAACTTTGTCACAAGAATTTGAGAAGCAAAGTCCAGCTAAATGTAGCAAACAAAGTATTTGCAACGTCATCACAGTTTCATAGGTACGAAGTTTTAAAGGAGCTAGCCATAAACCAAATTTGACATTGAGACTACTTGCAGTTTGGTATACAATGAACATTACCAGTTCTTTCCACTTTGTAAAAGTGATTCCCCCAAACCCCAAAGGGCTCATTTCTTTTACCAAGACCAACGGGATCAGGATGCCTTTTATTCTAAAGTGTTCTGGAAAAGCTTTAATCTGAAATTAATTAATTTTATTTTTAAATCAGCAACACAATTGATTGAGAATAGTTTAGACTCGGGAGAGTCTTTATTCATGACATTATGTGCTGTCAGTTAGTGTGCACACTAACTGTTCCTAATGTCTTCTACAATCTCAAGTTCTGTATGTGAATTCCTGCATGTTCAGCCATTCTGTTCAATCATTTTCTATAGGAGTTCCTAGATAGCCTATCAATATTTCACAAGTAATCTGAAAAATAAATTGTGATTGCCTGTTGTTTAATATACCAATTATTAACATTATTATTAAATAATAATGTAGCATCTAATTGGTCTCAGAAAACTAAGCACTTCCCCTTAGGTCGAAGGCCACCAAAACTGCCAGAAATGTAGCCTAGATTGGAAGATTAAAAATACTTCCATATTAATACCAAAATCCATCCATAAAATTTACACTCCAATGGAAGATATATTACTATACAATGTTACCACATAAATATATTTAGTATGTGCATGTATTAATATTATTATATAGATTTATTATAGCCAGCCATTCCAAAAACAGAATATATAAATTTCATCTAATGATGTAGACACTTCTCTTTTAAGAACTATGATAGATGGAGTGATTTTCCATCCACTAAAAGAAAGGGCAAACATACCAGCATTTTCAAACTCTCTGCACAGTATCTCTTCTTCAAACTGCTCAAGCTGCTAAGAAATGCGTACCATTATTTTCTAAAAGCTGCTAGAAATATCTAGAAAGAGCCTTCAGATACATAGTTTTAAAAAAGTTTACCTTGAATGGGAACCAGCATCACTCAGGCTAAAAGCACTGTTTTCTCTTGTTAAAGGATTGGAGGCTGGTTGACTTTTGGTATGGATGTCCAAGCTCAATGAAGATTCTGTTTTTCTGTCCATCATGTGGCTGTCTTTCTCTAAAGTCCGATCTGCAATGGAGACCATTTCACTGGAACTGTGCCAAAGTGATGCCACTTTTTCTTTTATAAGTCCTGATCGGGGAGATGTTGCCGAGTTGCCCAGAGAGGTTGAACTACTATGGCTGGGACCGTATGAAGTGGTATCGATGCCACTATCAGCAGAAGTGCCTTGAAGGTAGTTGTAACTATTCAGCTCTGATTCAGTCCTATCTCCACTGTCATACCATTTCTCATCACTATGAACACTGGAAGCGTTGCTAGATAGCGTATTACTGCTTGAGTGGCTGGAGTAGTGGCTGTCAGACTATACATAGACACACACAAGATTCTGAATTAAATTCGACATTTTGGAATGAAATAATATAAAATGGGATGAACAGCTCATTATTGAAATGATATAGTAAGGGAAAAAATATACACAATGGTCTACAAACATAAAATGAGAAAAGTTCCTTTCTGCATACCACTAGAGAAGTATCAACCTATAACATCCCTTAAAAGACTAGTACGAAAGATCTCTAAGGTGCTTAATTTAAATTTATCACCATGCAAAGTCCTCAACTTACAACAGTTCATTCAGTGACCAGTTGAAGTTATAACGACACTGGAAAAAGTGACGTATGATTGTTTTTGACACATACGACCATTGTGGCATCCCCATGGCCATGTGATCAAAATTCAGGCACTTGGCAACTAGCCATACTTGTGACAATTGCAGTGTCCTGGGGTCATATGATCACCTTCCACAACTTTCTTACAAGCAAAATCAACGGGAAGCCAGATTTACTTAACAATGGGATTACTAATTTAACAACAACAGTGATTCATCTAATAACTATAATGAGAAAGATCCTAAAATGGGCGGAAAAAAATCACTTAATAATTGTCTTACTTAGCAACAGAAATTTTGGGCTCAATTTTGGCCGTAAATTGAGGACTACCTGTAATCTCAAATTAAGTGATGGTATCATTTCTTATAGGAAACCTATAAATCGAGAAGCTTCTCTGAATTCTTAAAAATCTGCACAGATTTCAAACTGCCTCCCCACAGCTTAAGGAGTTGTAATATTATAACTCTAAGCAGCCTTCTTGCCATAGTGTTTGCTGAATTATGATCGCTAAGCGGAGTAGTTACATGATGTTTCACTTAACAATTGTTTTGCATAGCAAAGGCATTACCAGTCCCAATTAGGGTCCTTCAGCAAGGATTAGTTATATTAATAGAGAACTAAAGATTGACATAAGAGTCATTTCCCTGTAAAAATGTTGATAGATCCTAAAAAAATATTTTTTTCTGAAAAGATGATTTGTAGATCATAGTGCATATCATGTTACTGTTTGAAGCAAAACTCTGCCTGAGTTGGCAGGGAAATATTTTCATTAATGCATCTTAGACTCAAATGTGTAATAATGAGATTATTACAAATTGGTTGCATATTTGTATTCTGACAAGCAACCATAATTTGAGGAAAGTACAAATTTTTAAGAGACACTTTTATCTTTCAATAACTGTAATTAAGACAACGTGAATAAAAACGGAGCTTACATGACCCTGCTTATTTGGAGATAGGTGAACTACTGGATCCTGCCTCATCAACCTTCCTGTTGGACTTTCTCTGAAGGATGGCAGCATTTTGGACATTGCAGGCAGATGGCATGTTGCTTCTGTAATATAGCATACAGTAATAGTGTTTTCATTCAGGAGACTTACAAAATCTATTGCCTGGCATTTTTTAAAAAATGGGAAACTGTTGCCAGTCTATAAGAACCAGAAGCAGAACACAACATCTGTTTTCAATCATTGCTGACTTAAAGCTGAACAATAAAATCTTTGCTATTACCAGGCTGTATCTGTTTGGTGTTTTCCAACTCGTGGATCATTTGTCCCTAGCAGAAACTTGTTTTAATGGAATAGCAAGGGAAGGGATTTTCAACAATTATTTTTTGCAAGCTTTTTACTTTCCACTCTATGCATTTTAATAGAAGGGGGCAGAATAAGAAATGAAAAGGGGCGAGGAAAGTTGCTCCAAATGGATTCTTGTCTGAATCTACTATTCCATAAAATAAGCTTCTGTTAACAAGATTGTCAGATGAATATAACTCACAATTATAAGAATACAGTTATTTAGGTTTGTGTAAAATGGTACTTGTCTTAAAACAACAGCAAAACAAAACAACAACAAAACCCTCTTCTAAGAGAGGCTGCTAGGTAATATTGTACTAGTTCTTTTTTCACCAAATTGCTTACCTTCTTTACTTTTTAATTAAAACTATTTGAATGTTGCTGTACTTTTTATCACAGAACTTTATGGTAGTTAATGTTGAAAACTACAACATATATGAACTGCAAAATTATTCTGAAAAAAATCACACATTTTACCATCACCACAATAAAAAATGAAAAAGCAGATGTGACTGAAATAGTTTCTCCAAATGGAAACTATATATATAATCACTGGGTTTTTTTTTTTTTACTAAACAGATCTGGGAGAAAGATGAGGAATCACTAGATGGATTTAATATGAATACAGGAAAGTATACATTTTGAAACTTAATATTTAATTTTATTTTTAAAATTCTTCCCAGCCCCTAAGTGATAACTAAATATTTCACTATGCACTTAATCCTCCTCATGAACATAGTAGCTATCTATAAGCATAAACATAATTAGAGCGGTTTCAGTTTCTTTCATTATGTCATTTTCTATCACTCAGCTTGTCCAGGACAATGGATTACTTTCAAGATTGTTGTCAAACAGGACAGGACAGGACAGGACAGGACAGGACAAATGTTTCCCTTTACCTGAGAAAACTATACTGTAATCTCTTTTTGCTTTTCAATGTAACATTATATAAATTGTTTGCTTTTCAAGGTAAAATAGTATCAGAATGTTTCTTTTCCCATCATTTGGTCTTCCAAGTACTTGGAGAAACTGAGCTTGACCTGTGCCAATTTCTACTCTGCAAATCTGTTTCCAAACTTCTTTGGTGTTTTTTTATTCAAAACAGTTTACAGAGTCAGCATGTTGCCCCTAACAATGAAGACTAAGTGATGATACAACTCTTCTAGAAGTATTGTTCTACTTCCATTATACAGCCTACCAAAGAGCCATGCTCTTAGCTTGGCTTAGTTGGCTTTTTTGCTAACATCTGTCACAATGCACTACCGATGTAATAGAAGGATATTAAATTGCTATCATTTCAAAAATCTTAGTGGTATCTAATGTAATAAATTCAAGCACAGCATCTATAGAACCAGGCCTGGATGCTGAAAACTCCACACAAAGACTCAACAATAAATATCAGTTGAATGCTGTGGATTTGCATGGCTGAGAACATTTTTCAGTTAAAATCTTAACTAATGACATACTCATTAGTGGGAGAAAATATCTTGACTAAATATAGATTTCACTGCATTTTTATGTTTCTACATTATCATCAGCATATCAAAAACATTTATCTGAATAACCCTTTCTGTCAGGAAGGAGCACAATGCAAATTAAAATAAGCTGATGAACCAGATGCTATATTTGGGACAAGGTGCACAGCTAAAACAAGTAAACCCAAGTATGTCTATAGTACAACTTTCTGTGAAAGCACTCCAGGGACTGGGCTATTATAATGTATCTATTCCCCACAGACATTTTATTTCAAATAAATAAGTGCCATCCAATGTTGCATACATGTTACGATAATTTATTCTGATTAATAAAAACAAAAAAGATAAATGTTTATTGCATAGGAATGGGTTGCCAATGTCACCTTGGGGCACAAGAAATAGAATATATGCAAGAAACAAATACTCACCCATCTGATCAACAATACTATCCTCACTTCTCTGCCAACTTGGGGTAGATTTGCCACTGCCGCTGGTATCTGTGTTCTGCCTATCAATGGAGGCAGGAGATCTTCTACTCATTCCAAATCTGTGTAAAAGGAATATCAATTATTCCATTCTGCACATGAGAAATATCATTCAAAGATGTTTTGTAAGTATTAGATTACGATTAGTTCAACCATTCCAAAATGGTTACAGTCAATTATATCATTGATTTGACAAAATTATATACCACCCTAAGGTTCATAGCTCAGCAACAGTTACTAGCTATTAGACAGAGGACAAAAGTTAGTTAACAGAGAAGTAGACTAAAGACAAAGCTGACAGTAAAGAATTTGTTGGTCAAGATGATAGGGATTAAACAAGATGTCATCAATGGCGTATCTTGGTTACCTGAACAGACTTAGGAAAATAAAAATGTGACTAGACTCAGCAATGATCATGAGAGTCATAGGCCCTTCACACCATTCAGTAACAACAACCATTATTCCAGATAAAAGTATCTTGGATCTGGAGGCAACATGCAACTATTATGACTAGTAGCTATTCAATCTTATCCTCAATTTGTCCCTCCATAAAAACATACTGTAAATTCCTAAATTGAATTGTTATGCAATGAAGAGGGTTTGGGGGAGGGGAGGTAGTGTCTCTGTTATCTTATTTCTTATTTTATTATTACTTAGCTTTAGACTCTAATATTGTGAGAGGGAAAACACTTCTTCCACACAATGCTATCTTGTCCTTGTTGCACTAACCATTTCTCGTAATCAGAAAGCTCCAGGATTATAACCTTTTTTATGAAGAAATTATTTCAGATTCTTAATTATTTTTGTTGGCCTTTTAAAGGATAACAAATTTTTAAAGACACTGAATACAATATTCAAGTACAAGGATACCATATACTTGTACAATAAAATTTTGATGCTGGCAGGTTGTGAGAAACCTATTGCTTCTTTATTTAACTGCATAACTGAAGAACATTATGACTTTTTTTTACCAGTCACAAAAGTTGTACTATATGCTCGCTTTCCTATTTTTGTTAAGAGGTTACCATTCATAATTAATAAAACAATTTTGTTACCCACTATACTTCTAATCTGCCCAGTAACACAATACGGGAACAACTGCTTTTGATTTAAACTGGCTTCTTATATTCAGTTACAGTCTTTGAGATTAATCAAGAGTATGACAGATGCCAAGAATGAAGATATGTAACACTGCCAGTTACATCTGCAATATCTGAAGAGGGAGATGACAAGAAGATGAATGATTAAGTTATAGCAAAATAAATAGACAAGTTGGGATTTGGGCAATTAAACGCAGATATGATTGTCCTGAACGTATCTTTTTTTGTGTCAGTGGGAACACATTCAGCACAAGCAGACAAACATTCTTAAGTAAAGTTTTAATGTGGGATGTTTTATTTAACTTTTCAGCCAAGAACTGATATCATAGTTTTTCAAGATGCTACCTCAGATGCAACAATATAAGAAACTATTAAATCAAGACACCAGAATACTAGGCTTTAATTTTACCTATTTTTTATGTTTGAGGAAGCCATGACCTTAGGAGCCCTTGCTATAGGACCAAGTATCCTTATTTTTTTCCTTTTCAGATTCTCTAGCAAAAACAACCAAAGCGCAAATTAAAAGAATAAGACCTAAGCATAAAGCAATAAACACATATGAGGCCTACCCTTCAGGCATAGATTTTTGCCTGTATGTCCCTCCACCAGAGCCAGTTTCACTTGAGGATGATAAATTGCTTGGAGAATTACGACACTGCTGTGATCTTGCTAAGGCAATGGAGGACACTGTGACATAGACATCAGAACCAGGAGATAATCTGTTCAATACAAACAATTCCAAATTCTGCATTATTAAAAGATCATCAAAAAGATAACATTTTATGCGAACTGCCACATCAGCAGCATCAATTCATCACAACAACAAAAAGTAAAACCAGCTGTAGAATAGTATCCACTTTCTTTTATAAATCTACTGCCTATGACAGGCTACAGGGACACAGAGGAAAAATGCTTCCAAGGGTTGTAGAAATAAACTTGCTGAAATGCAAGAATATGAAAACAGAGCCCGTTTTAACCAGGTTTCGAATAAACAAAGGATTTATAACAGTTTTTTAAAATGTGTTTTAATTGAGCTATTTCATAAAAGGACATACAATATTGGCATTTTAAAGTGTACTTTATTATAAAGCTAAAAATGTCTTACTAGTTACTAGATTATTTATTCATTTTATATCTGATCTTTACATTTTTATAAACAACTCAAGGCAGTGAACATACCTATTATTCCTTCCTCCTCTTATCCCCAAAACAACCACCCTGTGAGAAGAATTGGGCTGATGATAACTATCCCAAAGACACCCAGCCAGATTTATGCTTAAGGCACGACTAAAATTTATAGTCTCTTGGTTTCTATCCTTGTGCCTTAGCCATTGTATCCATTCATATTTGGCAAACTAATATGTTAAAACATTTGTTAAAAATGCATGCAATACAGCATGATCAATAGACTTCATACTCTGAGCATTCCTGAACTATCACCCCCTAAAAAGAACCCCACTTCTATTTTTGATTTGCACATTTTTTTTATAAAAGTGATAAAAGCAAAGCAAAATAAAGCAAGCAAAGAAATAAACAACAACAAAAAAACACCTTGAAAATTTTGCCAACACTGAAAAAGTCTGACAAGCAAGCAAAATCTATGGCTACATCTATAATACAAACCATCTTTCTCCTCATTCAGTAAATATCCAGAAAAAAATGCAGCACACATTCCTAATTTTATATGGTTGAAAATCTGTGAATATTTTAACTCAAACCAGGAAAGTGGATGTACATTTTGGAGAGCTCCATGAAAGAGGCAGCAGAGTAATACATTACCCAAATGTCAATTTCCCTTCACCACAAGGGCAGAGTTTCTGGTCTTTGGGTACAGTATATTATTTCATAAGCTAGGAAAATAATGCCTACAATTGTCCAACACAGAAAGCAACATGCCAGATGTTGAAGCTGATTTTAGAAAAGGCCCTGGAATATGAGATCTTATTTCTGATGTTCCCCTAAGTAACTGAAAAAGCCAAAGAATATCAGATATGTGGTTCATGGATTATAGGAAGGCCTTTGATTGTGTTGATCATATCAAGTTTCAGAATGTGTTTAGAAAAATGAGAATCCCAAAACATCTCACTGTCCTCATGCAAAACATATATACAAGTCAGAAAGTCAAAATTTGGATAGAACACGGTGAAACAATCTTCTGATCAGTAAAAAAAAGTGAGGCAAGGCTGCACATTCTTCCCATTGTTTATTCAAACTATATATTGAAAAAGTGCTGAGGGAAGCTAGATTAGAAGATAATGAATGTGGTTTTAATACTGCAGGAAGAAACAGCAATAACCTGTGCTTTTCTGATGATACTGTTCTGATAGCTGAAAATGCAAATGAGCTGTAAGTTCTAATGAAAATAAAGGAGCAGTGAAAAAAATGTAACTAGATTAAATATGAAGATCAAACTAATGACAACATTAACTGGCTATGATGATAGTGAAGTGATAGGTACCTCTGCCTTTTAGAATTGACTCTCGACAATCAAAGAGCCAGCAGTCAGGTAATATACTAGAGTAGCACTTGTTAGAACAACAAATGTGTATTGGAAAAGATATTCAGATTCTGTCAGGGATGGGATGCTACCGGTTCTACCTAGTTCTAAAGAACCGGTAGCTCTGAAGAGCAGCGGACACTGAACTAGTTCTGTGTTTGCCGCTCTTTGGCCCACCTGCCCACCCAGGCTCTTACCTGTCCTTTATTTTCTGCTTTTTCAATCTCAGCTGCTTGCATGGCACAGCTAGGTTGAAAAAGCAGGAAAAAAGAGGCTTTTCAAACAGTGCACACCTGCGCAGAGCGCTTTTCAGTTGTCCAGGCGGCACAGCCTAAGGTTTTTTTACACGCGTGCAAAACATAGTCACCAAACCAGTAGTAACACCGGTTGAATCCCACCCCTGGATTCTGTGATATGTCATTATCACAAAAGATCAAAGTGCTACAAGCCATGGTTTTCCCCATGATAATCTATGGAAATGAAAGTTGAACTTTGAAGAAGCAGGATAGGAAGAGTTTGGATCCTTTTGAACTTTGGTATTGGGGAAGACTCCTGAGAATACTATGGGTAGCAGGAATATAAACAAATGTATCTCAAACAAATCAATCCAGAATTCATACTCAAGACTCAAATGACCATGCGAAATTACATCCTGGAAACGTGATATGCAAACACCTAGCTTTCTGGAGAAGTTCATAGTTCTGGGAAAAGTAGAATGAAAGAGAAACAGGTAGCCAGTTGCAAGGTGGATGGATTCAGCTACAGTGATGAAAGGTACATCTTTGACAGACTTGAAGGAGAAAGTAGAACAGAACAGAACATTTTATTTGGCCAAGTATGATTAGACACACAAGGAATATGTCTCTGGTGCAGAAGCTCTTGGTGTACATGCAGACTAACAGAGTAATAATAATTTTGTATAATTTTGGTTGGGGATAGAATCCTCATGGGAAAAATGTATCTATATGGTTCTAGGTGTTGACACAGACATGATGGCACATGATCATACAATCATTCTCATATTATTAAATATATTTCTGTACCATCTACTACAGGTAATACAAAGATTACTATATAATGATAAAAAGAAATTACACTATATAAAACATTTTGTAAGGATTCCGGCAGTTGCCCTGATTAAATCATGAGCCTCGAGCCTGTTTTAGGGTTGTCACATTTATTTAAAAAGCTCGTGGTAGGAAAACAACAGATTACAAATCATTCAAGGAATGCGCAACATGAGTGATAATATTTCAGTAGGTGCTGAAATAAATCGTGGTATTTCTCATATTCATTACTGGCATTTTGTGATTCCCTCCCCTACTTTCTCCTGTTAACTGAAAATTTACTCCATATCCTCGGTCTATATAGTATCATGCTTTTAATATTAAGTATCTCCTTATCTAAGAAATCCTTCAGGATCCTTAATCCCTAAGAAATTTTCATGCACATTAAAATATAAATATAAGAAATATCATTTTCCATACCAGCATAAAAATACCAGATAGGTAGATGGAGGTAGAGAGGAAGTGTGTGTGTGTGTGTGTGTGTGTGTGTGTGTGTGTGTGTGTGATTTGTAGTAGGAAGGAGCAACACTGGAGAGTACACATCAAGGATGATCACAGATAGAAAAATCAAATAGAAATTCAGTAAATTATAAATTATTTATTTAACATATTTTCTATTCCCACCCTGCTCAATAGTGGCTCATCTGCAGGGACAAAGATTAAAACCAACACCTATGAAAAATAATCCATGATAGCCAGGATAAGCAACGCATCCCAATTATAAAACCAGATCAATAGCAGAATTTGCCTAACCATCTGGCACCAATAATAGCAACAGTGATACCTACCCCAGCCAATTACTGTGGATACTGTATATATCAACAAAAATTGTCTCCTGCACCTATAACAACCAAACTATGGTGGATACATGATTGCAACAGTGTTTAAAGGAATTAGAAAATATAATGCTTTATAGTATAAGAAAGTATTTTATAGCTTTATAGTGTTACTGTAAAAACTTACAACCAACCCATATACTTACCAGGGTCTCCAACCCTGGGCCATGGACTGATAGCGGTCTGTGGCCTGTTAGAAACTGGACCGCACAGCTGGAGGTAAGCAGGCGAGCTATTGAAACCAAAACCACCCTCACCTCATGGAAAAATTGTATTCAGCGAAACTGGTCCTTGCTATCCAAAAAGTTGGGGCCAACCTATAGGTGCCTTCTAAAAGTTGTATTCAAGTTCACCTTCATACAAACTTGTCCCTTTCTTAATCAGCTCCATGATAAATTATATCACTAATACTATTTGTTTAAATCAAAAATAGCATTAGTGATATAAGTGTATATAAAGGTTTTATGGCAGATACTGTTTGACTAAAATAGGGTTAGAATTGCCTTTGGTATGTAATCCTTATGACCAAAATGGTATAACGTATCAGAATTCAAAAAATTGTAAAAATAATCAAAGTAACAAAACCCTGTTAAAATTAAAGTTATTTAAAATGGTTCATTTTATTTTCTTTTGGCAAATTCTCTTAAAAATTTTTGTGGCAATACTAATATAGAAGTTAACCCTGACACAATAACACTGGGTGATTCCAGTAAGCAAATAGCCCCTATTAAATTAGCTAATACAGATAGGATAACAATTTAAAAAATGTTTAAATGCTACCTTAAGCACAACAAATAAATAAATAGAGTGCATACAACTGGCATCTCCCGAAGTTAGGTACCAGGTAATTTTGTTCAAATTGGTACTTAAACCATGGATAAGTCACAGGAGATTTAGTCCCAAGTATTTTCCTTGCAATATTATCTGTGAAAGAATAATTTTTGACTGTGTGTTGAGGCAAGGTTACAATTTCACCAGTTGTGAGATTCAATAATTGGAAACGAGCCAGTTTAGATAATTTTTTCTAGCTTGGGGTCTATATATTAAGTGAAACCAGGCTCTGGGCTTTTGCATTTTTAAAAAAGTTTTTAAAAGTAGGACAAATATACTTATATAAAAAATATTCTGAAATTCATGTTGAGGTTTTATATATTTATTGCAAATCCTCTGCTTGGATTTCTTAAAATGTTTACATCTGTTGTTGCTTCTGGGCTGGCAGAATGCTTTTGTTCTCTGCCTTTGCCTCCACAGTATAATATTGCTGATTTCCCCACAATCTCCATGGTTCTTGAATTAAATTACAAAATTAGCTGGATAAC